TGGGTCAAATGGTATCTCTATTTGCAACTTTTTGAGAAAGTGCCATACTGCCTTCCATAGTGGTTGTACCATTTTACACTCCCACCAACAGTGGAAAAGGGTTCCAGTTTCTCTACAACCACACCAGCATTTATTGCTTGAAGTATCTCAGATTTATGTCTCTTTTAAAGCTTTATAATATACTATTAGTGGCAATGGGTTCATCAGTACTTAGGAGCAGTGGTGAGAAGTCCCCTGAGATCTTGGAAATTTAATAGAAAAGGGAGGGGGCACTCAACACAACAGAACACTGTCTGCATTTTGAGTTACTGAGTTATAGAACAAAGATGTACCTTGGTAATTAAAGCAAACAAGATGATGTCTAAATTCTAAGCTGTGGGTCAAAGGCATCAAAATAAAGAGTGTAAGGAGAGAGAAGCTTAGAAAATACAGTGACAGAAGACTGACGATCAAGGCAGGATCTAGCTAAGTACTCCACGGTTAGTGGAGTTTGCAGTTGTCTTAGGGTTCTCTAGAGATGCAAAGCTAATGTGATACATGTATCTACAGAAATGTATTCACATCACCAGATTGACTCTTACTGTGATTAGAGGCTGGCAAGCCCAAAGTCTGTAGGCCAAGATTCCACAGATTTTTCAACCCACAATCTATAGATCAGGTTACAGGAAGAGTAAGTACACAGTTGAGAAAGAGAGTGAGTTCTGCCGAAATATTTATGGTCTGGAGGTATGCCACAGCCTAAGGAACACTAATCTGACAGAGAGACTTCATTATAGTAGTTACATTATGGAAGCTGATTACATTACATTGCATTAAATTACATTATGAGAGAACAGCATGTCTAGTGTTTGGCCAAACCACTGAATCATAATCCAGTCAAATTGACACATAAAAGGAACCATTATTCCAAGCAATCAGAAATTTCTACAGTTAGAGAATTGCTGTATGACAGCTATGGCATTTCAGAAAATAGGTGGTCATGCCAGCCCTCACACTGATTTTTGTGGCCGTCTTATTTCTCATTGTAAATACAATTGGTATTTTGGCAACTTCCATAGTTGTGTGACTTTGATTGAGATATGTCCCTGCCGGAAGGATGGGTCCATACCTGATGTCACAATGGCTCTGTGCCTGTCAGGCAAAGGCCTATTCCCCCATGATATCATCATATCCACGCAATTGAATCTCCAGGGGCATTCTGTCATTGCTATAGCTCAGATTTTTAAAGAAGACTTACTAATAGATTGAAAAGATAAAACCAGTCTGTATCTCTATTATAATCTAGATTATCACAAAAGAAATTGAAGCAAATGAATGGAAGAAGAAATATGAAGAGACCCGACAAGAAGTCCTAGAGATGAGGTGAGACTTGAGGGCTGGGGCCGTGGTCGGTACCTTTATACTATAGATTAAGTGATGAGAGTGTGTGTTTACTTTAGAGGAGCAGCTGTTGACAACAGGAGGCCTTTGCTGCTGTTTGCACCTTGCTTTATGTGACTGACTGATTTATGCTATTTCATGCACTATTGCCAGCAAATACTTTGTTCAGATACTTAGCTTATCTTGGGATTGCTCAGTTAGAAGGAAGCAGAACATATATACTTGATTTTTTAAAAAGAGAATTGGCATAAAAGGAAATAGGAACGATCCAGTGGGGACCTGAAAAGATGGGAGAATGGTAGACGTAGTCCAATGGTGATTAATTTTATGAAACACAATATATAGGAATGATTGTATGAAACATCGTCAGTGAAGGAAAGTAGAGGGGTGGGAATCTACAAAGTAGAAAAACCAAGCAAAAAGAATTGGTGTAAATATATCTAAAACGGTTTAAAATGCAGAGTGAAACAATTTATTGATACCTTCTGTTTTGGAGTAAAGGAGCCCTAGTGGTGTGGTGGGTTAAGTATTGGGCTGCTAACCAAAAAGTGAGCAGTTTGAACACACCAGAACCTCCACAGGAGAAAGGCGGCAATCTCCTGTTATAGCCTCAGATACCTGCTGCAGGGTCCCCTCAGTCAGAACTGACTGAAAGCTAAACATCAATGGAGGTTGAACAGAGAAGGGAAGAATATGGATTAATGCAATTCATAAAAATGAAATTCAGATGTTTTTACTTATTGTCAAGTCAACTCTAACTCATAGCAACCCCACTCGACAGAAAATTCTAATCACTTTAATGAAAAAAGGTGCTTTGTCAGCACAGTGGTTAAATGCTTAGCTGCTAAATGAAAGTTGGTGGTTCCAAACCACTGCTCCTTGGCAGAAACGCTCTCATGACCGTCAATTGGGAACCGATTCAGACCTGTTCTGCCAGCAGGTTTTCTGAGGCTGTAAATTGCACTGCAGGAGCCGGCCCATCTTTTTTCCCCTGCTGTGGGAGGAAGGGCCTGGCAGTTAGGATTACAGACTAGGAAGCCTGTGGGATGACAATTCTGTGCTATGCTCTACGGTTAGTATAGTCAGAATCCACCTGCCAGCCTGTAGCAACAGATCTTTAGAAGAGCAACAGTGACTTTGAATTCCATACCCACAAATAGATTCTAAAAAGCAAGCTATCGGGAAACAAATTGATTAACTTTAAATTTATAAGTAAAAGTTTTTGCTTTTTCGGGGAGCTCTGGTGGTCTAGTGGCAAGAAGCTGCACTGCAATCCCAGAGGCACACGGTTCGAATCCACCAGATGCTCTGTTGGGGAAGGAGGGACAATCTCCTCCAGTACCAGTCAGATCTGTTTTGACGGTACCCACACAAAAAATATAATAAAATAAATATTTTTTTTAAAAAAAGTTTTTGCTTTTTCTTGTTCACTTCTTACAGAAGAGAGTTGTGAACTGTGAAATAACAAAATGCACTGTGAAAGACTAGAAGAAAGAGAATGTTAATTTAGTGACTAAAGAGTCAGCACTTGAATGAGTAAGCGGTGTTTAACACGTTGCCACAAATGACGGCCAAAAAAAATGTGTTTCTAAGCATGGTCTCAATTTAAAAGTGTGCGGCAACGTGTTAAATATGCTCACCCTAATTTAATACTTTTATGTGATTTAAAATGCAAAAATACCCTGTCCTTGGGTTGATCCAAATTCATAGAGACCCTCCATCAGATTTCCAAGGCTGGAAATCTTTACGGGAGGCACATCTTTCTCCCACTGAGCAACTGGTGGATTCTAACGCCTGGCCTTTTGGGTGACATTCTGAAATGAACTCTACCACCAAGGGCTCCTTCTTACGTGATTCATTGACTGTGTATTGGTGTAGGGATCTGCTGGGCTCAGTGGAGTTCCTAGGGAGCTACAGCAGACACCATAGTGGTCGACTTGAAGAGTGTGGTATAAAAAGTGATCAAAGACGCCAGGGGAGGAGTGATCTTTCTCCCTTGGAATCACAGGGCACTGGACAGGGTCAGGAGGGTCCTCACTTCAAGAGAGGAGTTAAGACCGGGCAGCAAGCTGTATGTTCTCCGAATAAGTGAAATACTTAAGGAATTACTACAGCAAAATAAAATTTATAAGAACATTAGAGGGAATTGAGTTCCTGAAACAGTGGATCAGGGCCAGGGAGACCTAAACTCAGATCAGATCATTTAGAAACTACCCTTAATTCATTAACTTATGAGGGGGAAGAAAAAGATTTGGCTAAATGTGAGATGAATCTATTGGCTGCAATATTCAGTGGAGACAGTTTTTTCTCTAAGTAGAATCAAAAGATTGTTGAAAGAATTTTAAAAAATTTTTGTACTTTTGCACCTCTTATATTAACCTTTAAAAACAAAGCTAAATGAGATCTGTAAACTTGAATTCTCATTGCTGTGAATGTATGTGATTGTTTGAGGCAGCAGTTCTCCAGCTTCTCTGCTATCTGAAAATGCACATCTAATGATAATTTTGTCTTCTTACTTAGGAAAATAGTGGCTGAATATGAAAAGACCATTGCCCAAATGATTGGTAAGGAGAAATTTTGTTTCTGAGATTCTAATCCTAGAACAAATGGATGATTTTCAGATTACACTTCAAAGGGGCCCTGTATGCTGGACTGCCAACCAAAAGATCAGCTGTTCAAATCTACCAGTCACTCAGAGGAGAAAGATCGGCAGTGTTCCTTAAAGATGTACAGACTCAGAAACCAGCTAGAGTCACCAAGATTGGGGATAGACTCGGTGGCAGTGGGTTTGCTTCAGGCTTTTCTTGGGTTTGCTTTTTTTTGTGGGGGTGGGGGTGGGGGCTTTTTTAAAAACATGTCTGGTTTTCTGTCACGTGTATAGCTAGGTTCATTTTTAGAAGTTAGGGGGCCTCACCACGTCGTCTGTACCCCTGTCCTGAAATCCCTTTCTTTTGGGGGCAGAATCCTTAGCCCAAAGAGCCCAGAGGGAATAGAGTTGCTAAAACTGCTAGTTAAGATCAGTAGTTCGAGTCCACCAGCCTCTCCACAAGAGAAAGATGTGGCTGTCTACTTTTCACAGCCCTGGAAACCTTAGAGAGCTGTTCTTCTCAGTCTGGCGTGTTTGCTGTACATTGGAACCAACTCCATGACACAACTGGCTTGGTCTGCATGCCATTGCAAGTTGCTCTTTCTCTGTGTTTTATAATTTTAAAAAAGAAAGCCCCCAGAGAGGTATAAGTGGGTCACCTTTACCATACTGATAGTGAGTGATCCCTCTGAGCTGAAAGCCATTTCTAGGCAATACTGGCAGTATTGAGTCCTAAATAAAAAAGATTGCCTTTTTGTACCTAAACCTGTCAGTGATCTTCTGTGCCTCTCTCAGCATCACATTCTTTCACGCCGTAGGACTTGGCCCTCTGCTGTTCACTCTTTCGGAGTCTCTGGTGGTGAAAATGGTTAAGTCCTCACCTACTAACTGAAAGGTTGGAGGTTTGAACTTGTACAGCTGTGCCGCAGGAGAAAGACTTGTAATCTCCTTCTGAAAGGTCACAGCCTGAAACCCTCTGGCACCGTTCTCTGCACAAACAGGAATTGATTTGACCTGGTTTGGGTCCCTCTCTGGGTAATCTTTTACTCCCAAATGGTTGTGTAGCTCCTGTGCTCAGTTCTTTTAGCTCTCTGCTAACATCTCCCCACAGAGGGAGGCCACTCCACATAAAACATCACTCCCACCTCTTCTACCACGCTTTTGTTTTTCCAATGTCACACACATTAGACTGAAACCCTGGCGAAGCAGAACTATGGAGAACAGTACTTGTCTCTGGAGGAGAGCCATTGACTTGAGTCAGTATGTCATTTCTTTTGCCTCCTGATTCACAGAAGACGAACAAAGGACAAATATGACCTCTCAGAAGAGCTTCCAGCAGCTGACCATGGAAAAGGAGCAGGCCCTGGCAGATCTGAACTCGGTGGAAAGGTCCCTTTCTGATCTCTTCAGGAGATATGAGAACCTTAAAGGAGTCCTGGAAGGCTTTAAGAAGGTGGCGTGTCTTTTTCCTTCTGCCTTCCTGCTAGTGTCTTTTCTGAGGAAAGCTTCTCCAACCATGCTTGCCTTTTATATTAAAGCCAAGGGTCCCTGTGAATCTTGCGTCTTCTTAGTCTAGTGAGATTAGAGATAATTTGTGTGGGTTTTTTCCTTCACTTCTCCTTTTCAGGGGTGGTTTAGGAATCTGGCCTGTTGGACAGCAGAACTTGGTTATCCCTTTACTGGTCATGCCAGTTAAAATTCAGACATCAAAGGGGTGATGTAAAAGATCTGAAGTAGGAACCCCAATGTTGTAAGAAAATCTTGGAAGTCTTTTTGATAAAGACTGTCCAGCAAATGGACAGACCAGTGAGTGCTGTACCACTTAGAAGAATTCTTGGCCAAAAACAAAACCAGGCCTGAGGGCCGCAGATTAGAATCACCCACCTTTGGTTGGTAGTATAACTTTCTATCCACGAGGCCCACAGAATTCTGTGTTGATGGTGTTGTTAAGTGTCGGGGAGTCATAGAGGGCTCTATTTTGTTGTACTTGTGGATTCTGTGAGGCTGGCTAAACACTGTGACACTGATGTGTCAAATGTGCTAATGATTACTCATGGTGGATAGTGTTTAGTGGAGCTCCCAGATTAAAACAAGCTTGGAAGCAAGAGTGGCATCTACTTCCGAAATAGGTTGCCTCCAGAAACGATGAACTTAGGGAAATAATGTAAGTTATACAGATGTTCAGGTCTTTTGTTCATAGGGTCGCAATGAGTTGTCTACGACTCGACAGCACTTAACAACAATGGTCTAATGCGTAAAAAGTTGTGCTGCCAACCCAAAGTCGTACAGTTCGAATCCACTAGTTGCCCCGCAGGAAAAAGATGGGCAGTCTCTCTGCCTGTTAGTTACATTGTCCCATTTTTTTATATAAAAAAGAAAATCCTAAAAATAAACATTAACAACAACAACAAAATAAAGGGGGGGAAAAAAAGAAAATCCTGATTCATGGTAGAAGAAAAGCAATGACCACTCATATTTTATCTAAATTATCACTTTTCAGAATGAAGAAGCCTTGAAAAAATGTGCTCAGGACTACTTAGCCAGAGTTAAACAAGAGGAACAGCGATATCAGGCCCTGAAGATCCACGCAGAGGAGAAACTAGACAAGTAAGAGCTTAGAAATACGGATTTCAGTTTTCATGATTCTGTGGGAAGATTGACAGAACCAAAAAAACCCTCTATTTTGTGATTTCAGGATGCATTTCACATCCTCATTCATACATACGCTTCAAATATTAAGAAGTGTAAAAATATATATACAGCGTCTCCTTCAGATCCGTGCCCTCTTGCACTGTGTTCCTGTCTCTTCCGTCACTCCAGCCATCGCTATTGTTAATTTCTCTTCAAGCTTCCAACTATACTTTATGCTCTCCTTTTTAGGCAGCTGGTGGCATAGCTTGTGAGGGTTTTAATTAATTTAGTAATATATTTTGGTGATCTTTCTACAGTAAGAGCTACCTTGTTCTTTAAAAATTAGCTGCATGGTATTCCACTATTGAAATGATCATATTTGACATTGATCATATTTTGTATGATCATGGTATGATCATGGTCTGTGGTATTCCACTGTTGGATCTTATTTATGTGATTAGTCCCCTCCTGTTGGTTTAAAGTCTTTTTGCTGTTGCAAATAATACTGCATTAAATAACCTTGAATAATTGTCATTTAGTATGTGTGTTATGTATAATAAATTACTTGTATTATAAAGTACCCACAAGATTAATTGCTGGGACAAAGAATATATAAACTTTCAAAATTATGATAAATATCCTATCCAGGAAATTAAAAGACAAATTGCATTGGGGAAAGTCTGCTATCAGAGACCTCTCCAAAGTACTGAAGAGCAGTGATGTCATTCTGGAGACTAAGATGCACCTGATACAGGCCATGGTCTTTGCAATTACTTGCTTTGCATCAGAGAGCTAGACAATGACTAAGGAGGATAGAAGAATTGATGCCTTTGAGCTGTGGTGCTGGAGAAGAGTATTGAATATACCATGGACTGCTAGGAGAACAGACAAGTTTATCCTAGAGAGGGTGAAGCCAGGCTGGCTGCTCTTTGGAGGCAAGAATTCTGAAGCTTTGTCTGACATAATTTAGGCATGTTGCAAGGATCAGTCCTTGGAGAGGGATGTCATGCTTAGGAGAGTGGAAAGACAGCACAGGAGAGGAAGACCCTCGATGAGATGGATTGATTCAGTCAATAGGATAATGGGTATAGGCATGTTGGAGACAATAAGATTGATAAGGGATAGAGCAGGGTTTAGGACTGTTGTACATAGGGTCGCTGCGAGTCGCAGGTGTCTCAGTGGCACAATACAACAACAGTCCCCATAGGGGAGCTCTGATGGCTTAGTGGTAAGGAATTGCACTGCCAACCTAAATGTACACAGTTTGAATCCATCAGCTGCCCTGAAGGAGAAAGTAGGACAGTTTCCTTCTGTGTAATTTCCTTCCTCTGAAAACCTACAAGAGGTTAGTTCAGCTATGAATCTCTTTCAACTCGAGAGTACACAAAACATGAACAACATTTCCCCTATAGTTTTGTCAACAGGTCAGATTTTTTTGTTTTCTGCCATTGTAGTTGAAAACTAGCATTTCTGTGTAGTTTTCATTTGCATTTATCTTTTAAATGAGATTAACTTTATTTAGCAGCTATTTATTCAGGTGACTCACCTCACTGTAACAGGTTCTATTTTATTCTATACTTATTTTCCTTTTGTCAGTGTTTTTATTTACCACTTTTGGATTTCTACTCTTAGTAACAAACAGCTTATACTGCACATAAAATAAATGCCTGCTTCCCTTCTAGGACTTACAGGACTTAATTTTTAAATGTTCAAATGCAAATACATTTGGAATTTATCCCAGGAAGTGATGGGAAGAATGCACTCAGTTATTTTTTTTAAAACTAAAAATAATTCATGCTCCCGTTTCCGTAAACTTTTAAGTTCCTTTTTCTCATTCCAACTTCCCAGAAGTGCTATTACTAAAGGTTTACCAAACAGCCTTCCAGTCTGTCAAACAGAATTCAAAATCACTTAGGACCTTCTCATTTTAATATGATTTTAGAATCAGACTGTGTAAGTTTCTTTCTCTACTTTACAGTAATACATCATGACTGTCTTTCCAGGTCAGAATAAATAAATAGCTCAATCTACTTTAAAACTAGATCATAGGGTGTTACCATTCCTTTAAGACGAGCATTTAAGTAAGGTCAAATGCATTTCCATTGCAAATAATACTACTGTGAACACCCTTGTACATGCACTGTGTTGCCAGGTGGGAATGTTTCTGTGGGTAGGTAACTAAAAGTGGAATTGCTAGGCCAGAGGTGTTACATGTTTTAAATTCTAATTAATGTCGTTTTGTCTCCACAAAGACAGGATACTTTTTCATTTGTACGTGAGCCAGATCATCCTTTGTTCATTTTGCCATTCTAATACATTTTTAAAGAAACTTTCATCTTGAATTTGCATGTTTATAGTTTCTTGTGAGGTTTTTAGCATCCTTTTATTAGTCACTTATATCAACTGGCATTTCTGCTTTTAAAATTTCCCTTTAGTATGTCATTATTTTTCTTCAATTTATGTCTTACATATGTCAATAGATAATATCTTGACTCTAGTTGCTATAATCCATGATACTGCCACTCTCAGGTTAACAAAAAAACCCTTAAGATTATGATGTTGTTGTTGTTATTGTTGTTGTTATGTGCCATTGAGTCACCTGCGACTCATAGCGACCCTATGTACAACAGCCCTAAACTCCGCTCTGTCCTGTGCCAATCTCACTGTCTCTGACACACCTACTCTCACTACCCCAATCACTGAATCAATCCATCTCATCGATGGTCTCCATGGTCTCCCTCTCTTTCTCCGTCCCTCCACCCTGATATAGAAGATGTTATATAATTCCATTTTCTACTAAAACATGAATTTCAAAGCATGGGCTTTGAGCTTGACTTTACCATTGATTTTTTTTTTCTTCTTTTTCTTCTTTTCCTTTTTTTTTCCAACTTTACCATTGATTTACACTATAGAAAGCCCTTAAGAGTTGTGTATAGATTTAAGTCTTATAAATCAAAATTTATTTCTTTAAGTTGCTGATTTCTGTTTTCCTCCTTTCATTAAGTCTGCTCTTTCAGGTCCATGTGTCATGGCAGCAGTTGGTAGTATCTTGACTCTGTAATTGTGTCTGGCGACTAATGACATTCTGTTTGTATCTTTGTTCTCCAACCACACGCCTATAAAGAGCCAATGAGGAAATTGCTCAGGTCCGAACAAAAGCAAAGGCTGAGAGTGCCGCTCTCCATGCTGGACTCCGGAAAGAGCAGATGAAGGTGGAGTCCCTGGAAAGGACCCTTCAGCAGAAGGTACAGAAACGGGGTTTGGTCTGAGGTGGTCCCTCGGGGGTGCCTCTCATTGTTCCTAGGTGTGCTTAGGTCATAACGGATCCGAATGAATGAGACCTTTGGTTCAGACGCATCAGTCTAGTTCCTTTGTAAACTACTTGCATGGAGACAAAGAAGATGGTCTCCCCTTTGTTCTGTAATAACAAATTCATTGCCCTCCCAGATGTTACAGGGTAACCCTCTGTAGGCAGGGTGCAGAGAGGGGGTTACATTTTACTGATGTTCAGTAGCAGGCACTTAGAGTCCTGAGGTCATTCTAAGTTTTTGTTTTATTTTATGCACTGTGTGGAGCTGCCTGCTTCCCTTTTCATTGCCAAGCATTAGCGGTTCTCAGCTGGTGTCGATTTTGCTGTCCCTTTCCTCCACCCTGCATCTGGCGAGGTGTGGAGATGGGTTGGTCGTGATGGGGAGACGCTGCTGTTGTCTAGTGAATGGAGACCAGAGGTTCTGCCTGACCTCGTACAGTACACAAGGTCACTCCCTGCAGCACAGACCTACTCAAAGTGCTGTGATTGAGGAACTTTGCTGCAGATAAGTGAAAAACAGTGATGGCTACTATTTCCCACTGGGCCCCAGTTTTTAGAACCTCTTCCTCATGTCACCTTACTGTTTTTCTTGCTGTTTATGTAAGTAGTAGTGCCTGTGGCATCCCTTCAGTGAGAGCATGAATTTTTATCATGGGATCTGATGTCTCTCCTGATACCTCACTGGGGTGTTGCATAAAACTCCAGAATCCTGGATCTCTGGAGATGCTGATGTACTATGTCAGCTCCAGATATTCTTCATTTTTAGCAAGCACTCCAAGGTAATTCCTTGTAATAACCAAGATGTTTGAGAACTAAGAGTCTCAAGGAAAAACTGGAGACCGTAGTGACCCCGACTCAATTTCAGCATACTTTTGTGAATATGTTCACATTTCCCAAGAAAGGGGACGTACAGCTTTCATTTACTTAAGAAATCTCAATCATGTATTGAAGAAGTAAGTTTCTAGGTGGTACAAGCTAGCCAGAAGCAACCCCTGAGACTCTAGCCCTTAATCACCCTTCAGATCTGGAGCAAAACTTCTCCAGTGACCCCTTGCTTACTCCTCCACCCCCTCCTCCAAAAATCACCCTTCAGCCAGACAATAGACAGGGTGATATGAGATAGAAGAATTAATGGCATGAGAGTTACAGGGAGGAAGCAAGAAGAATGTGAATCTGTTTATTGCAGGTATTGTAAATAATGTTATAACATTATAAAGAATATTATAACAAAGTGTATTATCAGTGATGGCATGTGTTAGCTGAATTAGAAGCTGATGTGTATCAATCAACAAACTCTAGAATTACACTAAAATTACACTAAAATTTGGATAAAGGAAAAAAAAATATGGGTGAATGTTTGAATGAAATATCATTTGCTTTGTAAAAGAAAGAGTCACTGAGTTAAGATGGGCTGAGCCATTCCTGGGACTACGGAGCTTTAACTGCCTTTATTTCAGCAGACAGAGAGACCTGCCTAAGTGCTTCATTTTGTCTTTTAGAACCAAGAGATCGAAGAGTTGACAAAAATCTGTGATGAGCTGATTGCAAAGCTGGGAAAGACTGACTGATTTCCCCATTGGTCTGCAGATCTGCACTCGGCTGTTTCCCTCACGACCACAAATATCTTGCCTTATCCAGGAAAAATTGCCCCTTTGCAGAGAGAAAAAAAACCAACTAAACGAAAAGCACATGCCTCCTGCTGCCTGTCCTGCTTTGCTGCCAGTATGACAACCTGGAAGAAACGTGGCGTCCTGCCGAGTCAGGAGAGGAGGGACCGGAAGGCCTCGGAGTTCTCTCCTGAGAACATGCTGCTGTGTTAGGGTTTGTGGTTTCTCCATCTCAGTCTGTTTTACCATCATCTTTTGTTTTCCAAGAGTGTTAAATTTTCAATTTTGTAAATGTTGTAAGGGATCATCTTCTTTCCACACCATCCCGAGTTTTTGGTGTGTCCTGTTATTTAATCTTGTCAAATTAATTTTCAAACTCTTTGGTTTTATTTGAGGAGGTAATTTGGTCTGTTGTTACCTCTCGTCGATGACAGGAAGGGCCTCTCTCTACTCATTTACGCTCATGCAAACACACTGACTGATATGTGCTGCTCTTCTTTTTTTATTCCCCTCCCCAGTTTAAAGCAGAGTCTAATAAAACACCTCTACAAAAGAGCATACTCGTGTAAATGTCAAGCCCTAATTTGAAAGAGAGTTCTGGCTTTAGAAAGGCAGCATAAGAGGTTTGAGATGTGAAGACCTCAGACTTGTAGGCTTGTGTGTGTCTTGACTCCTAAGTCCAAACTCTTGCCTCCTCCAGCTCGGGCAGTTGCCGCAGCGTTTTGTTGCCCTGATATTCAGATGCACCTTTGCATCTACTACACTCCCTTCGCTGGAGAGAAAGGAGTGTCTACTTTTCTGCATCAACAGCAGCATGGGGGACCCCCTCAAAGCTGGGGTGTGGCCAGTCTGTCTAGAGCTGTGTGTCTCCTCTGCTTCCATTTGTTAAAACAAAGGCCTACATATACTCTTTACCACTTCTCTATTTGAAAAATGCAAAGAAAATCTGCTCGTGAGAGGGTAGATGAACATGTAACCGTAGGCCTATTAGTGTTCACAAGGTGGAGAACCAATTATGGAGGTCCACCCCCCACAGGTATAAGAAATTGTTCTTTTATATTTTTTAAAAAGCAAAAAAGTCCTTTAAAAGTTAACATAATAGGATAGCTAATGAAACAAGCAGTAAAAATCACGTAAACTGCTCCAAAAATCAGTGTATTTTAAATGTTTTTAAGCAAACACAACCTGAATTCTGGAAGCGGGGAGGTCAGGAAGACGGCCCACACTAACAAAACCAGGTCCCTCCAGTTCAAAATGGTGACACGTCTGCCCCCAAATGGCAGTTTTCCATATAATTACAGTAAATTCCCTTCCAGTTGATAGGCGAAACCAAATCCATGTAAGTGTTTTAACACACTCTTTGTCTTAATCTTACACCCTGAAAGTCTCCGTGGTGATAAGCACTGTTTTCAGAATTAACATGTAAGTTTTCCTACTTCTCTTGTGAAACTATTGCATGGTCCACCTTCAGCAATGAGTCGTGCCTCGTGGAGAACCCGTGTAACTCAAACCTTTTCTTTAGCAGTGTACTGTTCACTTGGGTGCGAGCTTTTGCCACAGGAAAGCCAGTACCTTTTGAAACCAGAAGTCACATTTTCCCGATATGCATTCGTCATAATTGGTGCTTAGGCTGTATTTTAAAGCCTATTGTCTTAACATTTTGTGTGAGAGAAAAAAGAGAGAGAGAACAAACAGTGAAGCTCATCTTGGGTTTGAGAAGTGACTTGACAATCATTTGGGCTTTAGAAGCAGTTGCTGTGGCGTAAAGGGAGTGCTGCATCAAGAGCTGTTGTGTCAGACACAAGTGTCTCTGATGGTTAGAACTGATTCCCTCTCTTAGCCGTGGGCCTCAACTACTTGGGAAATTAACTTTACGTTCTGCAGACAGAAACATTGCTAAACCTTTATGCTGCCGTGCTTTTGTGACTTAGCCGTACCTATTTGTTTTATATTGATCTGTTTTAAGCATAAATGTTTTTCATGGGCCCTATTCTATATCCAAAGTCTTCTCTTTTTATATATGTATAGATTCCCCCCCCCCCAGTAGTCCTTTCTTTTTAGGCTTATTGTGTATTAAAAAAGTTAGCTATGTGTTATAACGAGGTGACAACAATCCTGCCCTAACACAGTGGTAGAAGAGACACTTAGAAACTAAAGCCCAGAGGAAGAAGTTTGAACAAGGACTACAAAAGAGTCCTTGTTTAAAGAGTGTTTGCCACTGGCCTCTCAGCCATGACCACTACATGGAAATGTGCTTAATTCTTACTTAATAGATGGATATTTTCCAGCCAGAATGAACATGTCGCTTACACAGCTGGCAAAGCAGGAAGTGATGCTGGGAAGGATGAAGCGGTGTTTGTTTATTTTTCTTGGAAAATAAGAAGAAAAGGGGGGGGGTATCCCCAAACCCACCAGTCTAGATTTTTTGCTTCAAAACATGTGGGGGCCCAATTACTTGCTAGTTAAGCAATAATAACTGTTGCAAAAGTGAAAAGCAGCTGCTGCCTTAGAAAGCGGTTTGAGAGTTCTCGGTTTTGCCGAGACCCTGGATGCAGAGGCATTTCTTCAGTTTTTTACTCTGCCAAAGTGTAGAAAGACTAGCTCGCTGTGTTTTAATTGGAGGGTTTGATCTAAGACAGTGTTTTAATTGGAGGATTTGGTCTGCGACAGGCGAACACTTTGCCGCTTGGTTGCCAAGGCCGTCAGTTACAGCCAGACCTTGGGAGATTGACTTTATTTGGAAAAGCTCCTTGAAGCCGGTGACCTACCCAAATCTCCTGTTCTGTAACACTGTTCTGGAATTAGTGAGAAGCCCAGTTTTCTCACGTGGCCTCTAGCTTCTTCAGACCCAGCCAAATTAGGAAGTGCAGAAAGCAGCACATGATGCTAAGAAGCTCTGAAGACTTGGCAGTGTTCCAGAACAGTATGGCCGCAGAGGGAAGGCAAAGTGACATTTTTTGATCAGCAGGCATTGCAATTCTAGCATGTCAAGCTAAAGGTCCAAGAAGTCTTCTACTTCAAAGATTTTAATATTAATATTTTAAAGAGACTTCTGTTCACAAAAAGGTTTGATTCACTTTCCGACTCTTAAAAAAAAGTGTGTGTGTGTGTGGGGGCGTTCACCATTCAGTCCCTGAGTCTCTCACATAGTAAAAATGCAAGGGAAGATCTTCTGTCAAAGACTCTGAGGAGATCTTCTCTGGAGCACGTGCCACACGGCAGCTTTCTCCAGCGAAGACCCACTCGCTCCCTAGTGCCAGAGCTTGCATCCTGGAGACTAAAGATTGCACTTTCCATAGTTTTTTCGTCCAAATGCAATCCGTTTCTGTGCCTCTTAGCATGCAGTTAGATTTGGACAAACAAGATTCCTAAGGAATGAACTTTATTAACTATAATATGGTTATAGCTATTATATATATAAATATATATTCTGGTTATAGTTCTACGTGCGATGCTGGCCTGTGGCAATCTGTGTAATGCTTTAACTCGAATGGAGAAAGCCAGGCTAGGAGCTGGGGTGTGGCCTGACCCTTCCCTGTATTAACTCTGCATTTTAGAGCTATAAAGATGCCATTTCTACCCCACCCCCCGCTGCCTTCCAGTGGCATCTGAAATACACTCCAAAAAAGTATTTCCAAGTCATACTGCTAAGTGATAGTCTGTGTTCATGAATTGTTTTTCAAATGGTCCTAACAAAGATGAAACGTGAATCCTAGAACAACCCACGGTCCAGCCTTCAGGTTACCACACCCCAGCTCAGCCTCACTCCTCCACACCCCTGGGATGGGATCAGGCGTTTCTTTTAAACCTCAGAGGTAGCAGTAAGCTTTTCAGTGTTGCTCTTAGCAAGTGTGTGTTTGCCACTAGATGTCCCATATGTACTAATGTGCCAATAAGTCACGTGAATTGCACATCTGCTCCCCCTGTGTCCCCACGAGTGCCATGAGGCACGTGAGGGGCCCCTGGTCTGGAGGAGCGGCGCCCGCTGACTGCTGCTGTCGGGACTGTCGTGTGGAAGAATCGTCTGCATAGATTTTATATGCACAATAATTCCCCTTTTTATATGTCAGGTAAATATTTGTAAAAGTTACACTCACACAAATGAAATTATTATAATGATTACTAATATATTTTTTCCATGTTTCATTGCCTGAATAAAAATTGTTGACCACTGTTCGATCTGGGTGTGTGTGTATGTGTTTTCCACCAGTTACAAATCAAGTTATCCCTGACTGAAAATTTATGGCAGCCTCACTGTTACAGGCTCCATATTTCAAGCTAAAAATAGGAGAGATGACGTTTCCACTCCACTCATTTTGTGAGATTTTATGCCTTTGGTTGGGTGTGTAATTAAGAAAACAAATGTTGGAATTCAGACTTTGCCGTATAAATTTCCATGCCCTTGCATCTGTGCAAACAAAGTTCCTACTTGGAGTGCTTCTTGGGTTTGCTCAGAGACTACTTGTCTGCCCCAGCCTTTTTCAAATTGTGAGAACCCAAGCCATCCCATGTTTTCTGAGTCGTTGAAGGACACGGGGTAAGCTAGAGCTGTGTAAACACTGGAACTGGCCACAGAAAATAGTTGACGTTTTCAGTACTGCCCAGACCAACTAGTCTTTTAAAGAAATTTGAGGTGTTAATTGTCAGGGGTTATTGAGAGTTACATGTCAGGGGAAGATAAATTAAGAGGGTCATTAAAAAACACTTTATTTTACTATTTGGGGACCCAGAAAGAAAAAGCAGCACACTGTCACTCTGTTCCTGTTTGTCACAGCCTAAAGTTCCTAAAAGGAACGTTTCTCAATAATAGACTTCTGAACAGTCAGAAGAGAATTCTAGACGATGACTAGGAGGTAGCAGTACCATTTTTTAAAACTACCCCATCCCTTGAGCCCATGGGAGCCCATAGAACTGAACTTCATACAGTCTTCAGCGGCTGGTTTTCCGAAGTTGGTTTTCAG